AAGGTTGCATTCTGTAAGGTCTATGTTTCAGAGATTTAAAATAACTGTAATACCTGTCATGATTACGCACTTCATAACGATTGTGATTATAAAAATTTTTAAGAACAAAGTTCTGCTAATAAAACATTATGAATTTTACATGTCATACTTAAAAATGCATAAGCAGAGTGGTGGTTTTTAAACTGTAAAATAGCAGCAAGTAACTCCAATCCTGAGCAAATGGAAGGGCTGTCATTTTTCAAAGTGCAAAGGAAGAATAAATTTTTAGAGAATCTTATCCAATAAGAATGCCATGTGATAATGACCAAAGGTCAACCACAGAATAGCTTGCTGAGTTATTTTTTATTTCACAAGTCTGAACCCTCCTCTTGCTTCTTAACTGCCTTGAAATTAAACTGCAAGTTTCAGGAACATCTAAATAGATTTTCTTCTGTTTTCCTAAGAAATAGAATCGTATAATAAACAAACATACAGGAGGGCAAAAGGACATTTTGAGTAAGATTTTAACAAAAACATGTTTTTCCTATAAAAATATTATTATGTCCTTCAAATACATAAAACATAGCACAGGAAAACTGTGAAGAAGCTTGAAACCTCTGAAGATATGAATGCACTTTTATAAATACTACAAAAATATGTTTGTCTTGGTTTATTTTTCACAGTTATTATGTCAATATTTAAGTGCTCTAGCTCACATGCATATGCACAAATTTACATGCCACAGCTACTTTGCACAAAAGCCTTTACCCACTAAGGGCAGAAAGTTCTTCCCAAAATAAACAGCAAATATGCACTGACTTCTGGAAAAACGGAATTAAGTCCCCTGTATTTGGATAGGCAGAGGATATGAAGGTACTAAACAGAAGAAGAACACACTTTTCTCACAACCTTTCTCAGGAAATTAAGTAGTATAACTCTTTTGGATAAGGGCAGGAGCATTTGACTCATACAACAAGTGAATTTTGAGTTGTATGAGAAAAAGTTGCAGAGACTTCAGGAAAAAGGATGCCAGGTCAAACTGTTCAAGTGGAGAAACCTGGGATGGAGGCTCCTCATTTCTCATATGCAAAAAGAACTAGTTTCAGAATTAATTGAGTACATAACTAGACAAAACATTTTGCCTATGCATAAGCCATCTTTGCAGGCTCTCAGTTTCTTCTTGTTGCCTATTTATATAAGACAAAGAGAATATCAACATTCAAGAAGGTGTAATTCTAAGATACAACCTAGTTTATGCACTGTACGATCAGCACATCAGAACAGATGCTACAGGCACATTTGTACGAAACGTCATAGTATTTCCTGAAGTCCTGAACAATTACATTATCACTGGCAAAGAGTTTATTTCTGTTTCCAGTGATGTAAGAACTCTGCCTGAGTGAGTGTGCATATACACATTTTTAGGTAGACTGCACAGGTACTTGTATATATCACAAAAAGATCCCACACAATCCAGGTTTGTTTCACAAAGAAAAAATACATTGTAAGTAGCTTTCAATTGCTTTCTACCTCTTTTATTTCCAAGACTGTTATTGATCAAATTTGTGTATTTATTTTTTTTGTGATTTCTCCATTCTAAAGCCAGCTAGCACTTCACAAATACAAAACAGCATACCTTAGTGAAATCAAAGTTTTCTTAAGTCTGTAATTATTACTGTACCAATTACTTACAACTACCTATGTATGTTCAAAATAACATTCACATGGAAAGCCAGATGCTCCTACTTGCTGCTTTAGCAATTGAAAAGAAAGGGAGAAAATTAAGGCTGGCAATTCATATTGTTCTAGACCTTCATATGAAGCACTGTTTCTGAAACAGTGATTTTTATTTATAATAGTCAGAGACAATTAGTATAGAGCACACAGATACTTCTCAAAAGGAGCACACATAATGACAATACTTCTTCAATTATACAAGTACTAAATCATCAGCTGCACAATGCTTTTTATGCAGCATAAACACACATTACTTTATAATACCATCACATAGAAGTCACTCATCTAAAATTGAAAAACCTTTCTACCCACAAAGAAAATAATCTTTGACTGGTAAATGGTACATAAACAACATAGTTTCATAGAAATCTTCACTGAAAACTTGGAAAATGTCTAGAACAGGAACTCGTTAACTAGCCTATCACTTGTGCCGTGTGATAACCTAATCACCTAACGAGATTTACAAAAGGGATTTATGGATCCTCCAGCCAATGTATGGGTGATATGCATTTATTTATACATGAGAGGCTAGGAATTCTTTTGATGCTTTGAAAGCAGAACAAATTTATCTTTAATGACTTGTACACACCTGAGAGGTGTACAAAACTTTCAGAATGCATTGAAACACTGTATTTTACTCTGATGAAATAAATACACAGATAAATCCACATATACTAGTCAACCCTGTATAAGGAACGATGAATTAATCACATGATGTTTCTATTTCATAACATATAGCAAAAAAGAGACCTAGGAAAAAAAAGGCAGAAAACTGCTGCTTTGTTTCACTGAATATGATGTATTAAGAGACATTTTCATACCAGCATGGAGATGAACATTTTATAAGCAGGTACCTAAGATCAGATGTCTACTGCATTTTTGTTTACTTGACTCGTCTTGATATATAAAAGGTACAGAAGAGTTTTCTATTTTATTTTGTTTATTTACAAAGAAGATCCAGTTAACACTGGATCATGAAAAGACTAGTGCTCAGTAAGAAAAACATAAATCACAGAGAAATTTTTAGACATGTTGAAAAGTCTTTATTTTACTTTATCTTTAGCATCTATTTAGTTCACACCTGCAGAAAACAATTTGGAGGAATGTGCTCTATTTAAAGAAATGCACCACTCTGTTTCTTCATTTATGAGTATGAGACTAAAACAATCTCCATACTCAGAATGAATATAATCTCATAAGTAGCTTTACTGAATACAAGGGTAGCTTGCATTGTAGAAATCTGTTCAGTGTGAGTGAACTATTAAAATATGAGTCAGAAAAGCCTATTACTTTTTTTTTTCCTCTGAAACAGTATTCAGCAAAACAAGGAATTCAACAGTTGCTGCTACTGTTTATTTCTAAGATGAAAAACAAGAAATAAAATGAAAGATTAAACTCAAACTCACAAATTTTCATTATACCATAAAAAAAAATCCAACTTTTTTTTAATATATCACCTTACACAAAGACCACAACAGATGCAATTTGTAAAATTATTTCTACCTTACATTTAAAAAAATAAACTGTCTTAATTCTTCATAATATGTGCAAGACTATGTAAGGAAAATTGACCTTAACATATGAAGTAAATGATCATTACCTGTACCAGATAGCTAAACCATGGTTTCATTTGGTACCAGGGATATTAGTTAATTACTTTGAGGCAGTAGAATGACTTATGAATATGATTCAAGCAAAGTTAGGCATTATTCTCATACTGCAATAGAACACTATTTAAGTATGATAATGAAGAACCAGGTCATAAAAGAGGGTTACAAGGCTTTAAAGTCAGAACTGCTGGAGATAGGAATGAAGTTCTATGTATTACAACATCCATCAAACCAGAAGGATTCTTTGCAAACAAAAATAAATTGAAATGAGACTGGTTTATATTATAAATCAGTACTATTTCCCTATAACTAGAGGCTGAAAATGGTAAGCCTTAAATTGTCATAAAGACCACCATCCAAAATCTAGAAACAGCTTTATGATATTAGGCACTTCACTCAGATATACAGTACAATACCGATTTGGCCTGGAGGAATATTTTTTTTTTGTTTTCGCTTATACAGGTTTTTATTAAAGTTCTAACAATTTAGTAGTTATACTCAAAAAGCATGCTATGATATAAACTTGCTGCCAATTTTAAGTGACAATGTAACTGTGGTTAGTAAAAAAAAAACTAACTGAGTAGCACTATTTTCATTTTATTACATGGGTATATGGTGAAGCTTAATACAACAAATTTTGTAAAGGTGTTTTTGGGTCTTCCTGTGTATGACATTACTATAAATAACAGTAATATCTAACTCCTATAATGTTTTTTAGCAGTAGTGTTCAAATGACTCAGTGTCATTTATAAAAATGCAGAGTAATACTGGGAATTATTATTCATTTAACTCCCCCCTAGTTATTATACTGAAAATGAAAAAAAAAAAAAATCTTTTTCTTTCTTCTCCTATTTCAATTTCCTGTATGAATAAAACTGCTTTTAACAGAAATGCCTCTTAACACACTGCAATTGTGTAGTATATTATTCATTGCAGTTTTTGCTCTAATAAAAGCACCCATATAACAATGAAAAGTGCTTCTAAAAACAGTGAGCAACAGCAAAATAAAAATATAACAACTTGATGACTCTTGCCATAGAAAATGAGGAGCAACAACCGCCGTGTCCACTACTGCTTTGAGATTCTACACTAGTACCAAGAGAAGTGGTTAGACATTTCTAAATGCACTCTTCCATTTTGTTGGGGTTTGTTTGTTTGTTTTTTTCTTCTGACAAACCCCACATATGTACAAGTAGCAAAAACTGTCCTTGGACAAAATTACTTTTTCTGATCATAATAAGTACATACATCTATAACTTGTAGAACACAGTAAGGTTCGTAGCTTTGGGTTCACCGATCAAAATGACATCTTCACAAACACCACAACATTCCCATTTCACGTAAGTTCTATTTAAAAACCTGCCTCAGCTTTCACAGAAACTGTATTTTCATACATCTGTGTTAGCCCCTCTAAAATGATTAGTTCAAGAGTTTATCTTAAGAACAGGTCAATTTGATTCTACTGTTACTGTATAATAGAAGCTATTTTACTACATATAGCACCTAGAGAGTTAATTAACCAAATCTTCTTACCACCTGTCTCTTAGAATGAAATGACCACATAAGGTCTTTAGCAAAGAACAAATCCTGGGGAATTAAGTCTTGGGCTCGTAATACATTAGAAATAGAACAGCTTCCCTTCCCTCTGCCCATGTTCAATGAATTTGTACTCACCCTCTGAGTGATGCTTTTTCCCTCTTTGACTCGCACTGCCAATCCAAGATCTGACAGTCTGCAATTACCATGATCATCCAGGAGGACATTTTCTGGTTTCATGTCCCGGTACACAATCTTCATGGAATGGAGATGCAGAATCCCACAGGTGATCTGAGCTGAGTAATAGATGACCCTGTTCAATTCCAAACCTCTTTCTCCCACATTGTAGATGTGATACTTCAGATCCCCTCCATTCATGATGGTCATGACAAGACACAAATGGCTTTTGTTCTCATAGGCATAAGCTAGTGTGACTATGAAAGGGCTGTTGACTTTCTCCAGGATCTCTTTCTCCAGCAGTGCCATCTTCTCTCCACCTTTCTTTTTCAACCTTTTCTTATCCAGTTTCTTGCAGGCATACATCTTGCCAGTATTTTTCACCTGGATAGCACAAACCTAGAGAAGCAAGATGCATGAGAAAAGGTAATGAAGGGATTTTGCATATACAGACTGGAGTATCAAGGGCAGTAATAGGCAGGAACTGGGGAATCAGAGATGCCTAACAGTAGCTGCTGATGCTAACTTCTGTGGCAGAGTATACTAGCAGAGAAAATAAAGAAAAAAAAGCATACAATCTGTTCTGTTCCAGACCAGTATACAGTGGACCTTATGCAAAGTTCTCGAGGACATCATTAGTAGACGTGTATTAGCAAATAAAATGAAAGAGGATCCATTCTCTGACCATGACACTAAGTGGCATATACACCTTGCATCTCTACAGCCAAACTCACTTCCATCTCGAAAAAAAAGATTAATACTGTGTTTCGGGAACAAGTCCTGATCTGTGCTATTCCCTAAACTGCACCTAGGAATTATCTGGGAGTGTGTGAGCCAGCACAGGCTAAAACAGTGCCGAGGAGCAGACTAATAATTAACTATGTGGACAGTCATGCAAGCTTTTGTAAAGACGCCTGCTTTTTTTTCAAGCATGGATACAGAATATAAAAATTCTAGAGTAGCTCTTCACTAACAGGCATCTGGAGCCTGTCTCACAGTATAGATACAAACTCAGCCTAATTTCTGGGAAATGGACAATCTGAAGGAGCAGGTTTTGCAGAACCTTAGACAATTTCTTAATCCACTGCCGAGCTCCTCTTTGCAAACCCACTTGCTGGTCTTGAAAGGGGATGACCCATATCCTTAAGAGTACAGCTCTTACCTCTCCAAAGCCACCTTTGCCCAGCACTCGGTACTCATAGAAGTATTTCTCAGTTATTGGCTGCTTCTCAAAAACTTTCCATTGGAGGAATTTGTCAAAGAAAGGGCTGGTCTGGAAGTCCTGGAAGGGCTTGTCTTTCAGAAAGAGTATGGTTTCCTCCTTGGCCAGCTGCATGACATTCTCATAGTCTGCCGCAGTAGCTTCCTGGCACTTGCTGGACAAGTCAGAGCTCAGGAAAGACAGATAGTTTTTGGAGTCTGCCTTAAGAAAACTGGTGATCATGTTCTCCATGGTAGTGGTCTTGACACTGTCCTCTGCCAACTCCCAGTTTGACACCTCATCCAGGAAGTTCCTAGCTACCAAATATTCTGGCACTGTCTCTAAGAAGTCTCTGAAGAATTTCTTGCCAATGGGCTGCTGCTCACAGATGCTGTCATAGTCAGCAACAACGGACTCTCTAACCTCTTTGCATTGATCAATCCTGGGCAGTGAGAGGCTCTTACGTCTCTTTTGCATCTCCTTGGTGTCTCCATCTCCACTCTTCCTTGCCTGCAGATAGGCTGTGTTGGCAATCAGGTTGTCAAGCCCCCCCATGTCACACATCTTGGCAAGCTCTAGGGGTGGCAGAGCCTGGTTGAGACAAAATGAGTAACTGGCCCAAGTGCTCTGCTGTAGCTGCCCTGCACTTCTCCCTGCTAGTGGTGTGTGTGAGCTTCTGAAAAACACCAGAGAGACAAACTGCTTTTGCATTAAATACCTCTCAAGGATTTTCACTAAGTACCTTTAGGTATACGCACCATTTGTGGAAAGTGACTGGTAAGAGGTTTCTCTGTAAGGAGCTTTGAGTTTGCTATATATAGCTGAGGGATGACATCCTAGGCAAACTTCTCACTGGCAGCACCAAACACATGCAGTTCAGCTGGTGTTTTTCAGAATGGGCCCTGATAACCTTTAAATGTACCAGGATTCCGTCTCTATGCACTGTCCCTGAGAACTGAGAACACGCAGACTCCTGTCTGCAATACATGCATGCTCCAAACTCAGTGGTACGCTGGCCCCATAGCTAATAGGACAGCCTTGTATCACCCTCGCTCAACACAGAGAACATCAATGCACTAAGAATTGCATAAGTTGGGATCTGGTTTTATAATAAGCTTTTATCACAAATCTGCCATGCCTGAAACAGAAGTTGACACAGACGAACATGAGTCATTGAGCTTTAAATTATCACACAATTCAGTGCTTTGAGCTTCCACACTTCGAAAACTCAAGTTACGCTCAACATCAGTGACTGAGCTCCACAGACACTTCATGCAAACCTTGATGCCTCATGTGGCTCTGTGTGAGCAGATTCCATGCAGAGGCTAAGATCTGCTGCTGGTCTAAAAAACAATCCCTATATATGAAACATATAGTTCTGACTTCATCTCCTACCCACAGAAAAAGGAAAAACACTCCAACCAATCAACCAAATCTTGCCAAAACACTTATATATGTTACCGTGGCCTCAGTTTATTTTCCCTGCTGAGCTTTATGACAGTAAGTGGTAAGATGAGAAAGTGGCAACAGCATATGGCTGAGGTGGCATCAGCAAAGAGATAAAGCTGATTATAATCAAGTAAAGGCAAATTCCACCTGACTTCACCCACCAGGTGCCTACCAGGAAGCCTGTGCCCCATGTTTTTCCCAAAAGAATAAAAATCATACGTGACACTTACTAGGCTACATCCCAGTCTGCTGTGGGGTCATGTGCTTTGGCTGTTAAAACTCTAAATATAAGGAAGGCATTATGGGAACAGGAAAAGCAGTTCCATGACTCTTCAAGTAGCAATGGCATCAAACTGCACTATTGAGATCAAAGTCAAGTTTCCTTTTCTCTTTTCTCAGTCTTAGAGCAAGCTGAAGAGCTGAATCACAAACACTATACATAAGGAGTAACAACAGGCACCTCTCAGACTCCCTACAGCAAGTGCTAAGCCCTTCTTGGCTGCTTTTTGTCACTCGACTACTATGTAGTATATTGTTTTTATGTGCTTAATCCTGCCTGCATTGAATCCATTTGACATACAACTCATGCTTATACTCTACAAAATTACATTAGAGGTGTGTTTTTCTAGCTGTGACTAAGAGGGCCATCCACTGCAAACTGCTATGTGTGCATGAGAATGCAGGGTACTCTAAAGCAGAGTATCTGACAGCCTTGCTTGTACAGCAATCGCTAACTCTGCCAGGTGAATGCAGGCACGGAGCAGGAGCAGGAGCAGGAGCAGGAGCAGGTTACATAAACACAACCACCAGAACAAACAAAGCTGAAAAAAGTCAAACGAAGAAACGTGGAATTCTGCTGGTGGTTTTCCTGAAAATGGTGCCCATAGCAACACAGTCCTATAATACCCTGGTATAGAAAGGCAAGAAAAGAGGTAATAAAAGTTTTAATTTCAGGTCCTAAAATTCAGCAGTGTCTTTTTTATATTTAGCAAAAATGCTACCACAGCTCCAACTTCAGAGTAGCAGTACAAATGGCTGGTAGTTGGGGACCTAAGTGTGAACTCAAGCTTACACCAGCTATTGACTTATTCATGTCTAAGCAAATAAAGAAAATACCTAACGTTTATGGTATCTGCCTAAGAAAGACACAGTCACAGCTCCAAAAATAATTCTGCTCTGTTAATTCAAATCTTTCCCGATTTCTGCAGAACATAAGCTTTCTCTAAAATAACATAACTTCATAAAAAGCAAAGTGAAACAATATGATCTTCAGACACATTAATTACTCCAGTCACTTTTGAGAGAAGACTCCAGCTAGATTTGCGAAATTATCCAAATCTGTCCAGCATTTATTAACCAGTGGAGAAAAGTAGATCAGCATCAATCTATTAGTTGATAATGGCTATTTAAGTTAGTCTTACCTACTCATAAAATGGAATGTTTGGGTAAGAAGCAAAACAGATTTATTTTGCATGTATAAGAGGTGAACAAATTCAGGACTGAAAATGAGTACATATTAAGAACTATGCTAATGGAATACCAGGGTATGATTTAGAACAGAAGAAAATTTCTCATAATGAAATTTCTCATAGAAAGACTGAGACTTAAGCTATTATCTTCTCTAAATTACAGAGAAAATATGCAGGAATTAAAATTCATGCCCTTATATTCTAGGTGAACCTCTAATTACTGTCCAACAAGATACTTATAATACACAAATAGATATATTTGAATAACAGCTGCTTTGATTTCAACATTAACTTTCCTAATACTTCATTTGTGTTAACAACTGCTTGAGATCACATTTTGAAAAACTCTTCTACAACTGTTAATTCTCAACTTCTCTTGTCATGCACATGATGTGAACTGAAAGAAGGGTGCAAATTACTCTGGTACTTTCCATATTCACCTATAAACCAAAGCAAAATGAAGGAAGAAGCCCTCTGATGGGACTAGAAGGAATTAAAAGAGGTTACAGGACGGAACCTGGCACCAAATTCTGGCAGAGAAAATAAGTGGTAGATAAGATAAAGTTTAACTTCTACGGCTAAAAATTATTTCCACATCCAATCAGATTTTGTTTTGTAATCATTTTAGGAAGAATCCTTTTACACAAACAGAAAAGCTAAGATGAAATACTCCACAACAAAGTAAATGCTATAGGCACTTCATTACCACTGTTAACCTATTTCCTACTTGTTTTACAGTTTTAAGACAGACACCATCTGGGATAAGAACAACCAGTGAGATGCACTGTAACAGTGACACAGAGGATTTTTTTTTAATCTCAGCATGTCATGAGACAAAAGCTATATTTTAAAAATTCAAAACATTTAAAAAGCAAGATTACAAGAATTAAACAAAAACACACTAAATTCTGCATGTATGCTTGATGACACAGATTGCCATTGGAATTACTTTACACAGTGAAGATAAACCTCTTTAAATATACTTAAAATAAACAGAACTAAATAGAAATACATCTGCTGAGAAATGCATTAATCTTAAACACTTAATGTGATAATTTTGAAGTAAACAATGATATGCATATAATATTTATTAATAATTTTATTAAGCCTGAATTTGTTACAGACTTAAAGCAGTAATTCAGCCTATTACATATATTAAAAATACCACCATAGCATATGTTCAGATCAATAGTCATTACTTTGGATATTTAGGGAAAAGACAGTCAAAGGCAAGCACTTAAATATTTGTAAGAAAAAAAATCATGATTCATATTAAAAAGATGATATATTGAGGATTTACATAAAAATGAAACAATGCCTTCTCCCACTTCCAACACACTGTAACCAATAAAATGATGACAAATGGAACCACAATTTAACATTTTCCCCTAGATTTAATTAGTACCTGCTTTCCTTGGGATATTTAAATTATTAGTTTTATTTGTTTTCTATATTAGTCAGCTAACTAGTGAAATTGTTTACATCCCTAGTTAACTGATATCAAATATGTGTCTTTGTACCAAGTGTCTCTGGATTAAAAATACAAGTCTCCATGATCTTTAACAGAAATATAAATAAAAAAAAATATTAATGTGGTTAAATTTTAACACTATGGTTGTAGAAATCATGTACAGAATGTAATACAGCAACAGACTTTGAAATACAACAAACCTAAATTTTCTAAAGTCATAAAGAAAACCTAAATTAGAAATGTTTAGTATAGTGTGATGGAAAAAACACAGAGCAAATGCTTTACACACTATTCCTTTTAGATTAAAAAAGCAGAACACTTTTTAAAAAACTCACCGACTGTGTTTTGTATACAATATTACTTAGAAAACAATTTCTTTATCCTGATAGTAAACTATGCAGTGTATCAGACTTACAGGTAAGGTTGCCCTTTCAAATTAATTAGTTTATCTATGCAAAAACATTAAGTAAACTGTGTTTAGGGTATAATCTGCACCATCACATTTCTACGCTCTGATACAGTTAACGCTCAAATCGTAACAGATAAATTTGTTAATGTAGTGTCTCTTATTTCGATTGTGGAAATATCTGCAGTATGACTGACCATTGCCTCCTTGTACAGCAAAGAGCATACAACAAAACCACACCGTTCTTGTAGCAGATAAACTGAATAGATCATGCCATGATCGACATGATCCATCCTCTTGTATGAGCATATGGCATAAGACATACACTATTTCAGTACGTTCAACAGGACAAAAAAACTTCCAGTGTTTTCATTTGCCTATTCTCTGGACTACCCAGTCCTGCTGGCAGAGGGGACAGCGATTGTTCTGTTTCACCCACAAGGACATGCAGCAATTGTGGAAGGAATGATTGCATTCTCCCCAAACCACTGAAAGAGAAGAAAGAACATGTTCCAGTCACACTCAGATGTCCAAGCAACACCTACAGCAAGGTCCAAACTACCCTTCTCAGATGTTTCACTGCAGGCTTGAGAGACAAAATGGGTCATCACTGATTTATCCACTGAGAATGGATTACTATGGTCATTCTGATGATAATCAGATCTCTGTCATCAATCCTTTTATTTATTTCCAACTACAATACAAGAAATGCCTGCATTCTCACCTTCTTGTATCAAGTGACATAGTTTTGTGAACATATAAAGACATTTATCAGTTCTGTCCAGGAAACAAGTGCAACTAAGTTCTTCACTTTATCTTTCCCAGTACCAAAATATAGCCAATGTACTACTGACTCACTATCACACAAGAGTGCATCACCAAATTCTTATCTGAAATGCAGTGCTTAAACTTAAAT